TTCTGTTGTGCTGCATAGAAAACTCATTTTACTTTCTTAATAGCAGCTTGTTTGACAGTCCTGAATTAAGTGTTGACCAATTATCAAAGTAACTGTTTGTGAAGTTGCCAGTGATATATTTTCTGTAAAAGAATGGATTCCTAGAGTGTCAAAACATTAATTTCCCATTTCAGTTCATCTATGAATTGTGTAACTACCAGATTGTCATGGTAGCAGTATTAATATACATATCTGTATATAGACAAAAAAAAAAAAAAAAACAAACCAAACCCTCAGTAATGAACATTGGAATCAAAAGGTTTAATATTTTTTCCCAGTCAAATACACTAATGCTTCCAAGGTGACAAAAGAGTGTACAGTTGTTAAACAAGTTGTAAATAAACACTTATATAAAATGTAAATGCTTGTTTTTTCTTTACTTGGTACTTGATTATAAACAGAGGCCAATGCACAGTTGATGTTAAAGTGACTGGTTTGACCCTGAAGTGCCGTTTTGCTGTATGAGGTGATGGCAGCTGGTGGGGGCTTTTGCAGCCAGCTGGTGATTAACAGGAACCTCAGTAGAGTGGGAATAACATGGATAATACAGACCTTGCCTTTGAATGCACTTGGAATCAGTCACTAGAGAACAGCCAGGAAAAAAATACTGGAGTTTTTACAAAGCACAGCTGCACCTGGGCTGCTTTGGTGTCAGCTGGTCTGTCTGATTCTTAGGTACACAAATGGCATCTTGGAAACACATTTGCTGGGGCTGTGTGAAGGAGGGTTCATGGCAGGTTGGCAGCAGCAGGAGTACACCAGGAACCACAAACCTCCTGGCTTTTGCTGGAAAGCGTCCCACCTGGCTGCCCTGTCACAGCATAACGTGGTTTGCCTCTCAAAGGGCCAAGGCTAAACGGCCAAAGTAATGCAATTTTCTCATGCTGATGGAAGTTTAGCTACAGAGGTAGCTAAAGGTGGGGGAAAAAAAAAACCCAAAACACTGCTAACATGGACAGAAACAATTGACCTTCCTTTCTGCATTGATAAGCAGCTTTGCCATCTGGAGTGAGAGGAGGAGGCAGTGTCAGAGATGGGTAAAGATAGGCTGCGGAAGAGATGGCAACAGCCAGCAAGAGCTACTGAGCCCATGAGTGTCTCGTGTGGTGCTGGGGCTGAGAAGGATGTGCTGAGATCCTGCCACAGCCTTTCAGGGGTTGCTCTGCAGAAGGAACAGGAGAGCAAAAAATGGAATGATTCCCCTGCCTGCATCCCCTGGTGCCAGCTCAGCCCTGCCTGTCTGCTGCAGCATGGCTGGGGCAGTAACGGGAGGAGCCCTGGGGGGCTGTGGGCAGGGCTGGGGTGAAGTGTTTGCTGGCTGGGGAGAGCCCCAGAAGTGGTGGCCAGCTCTCTCCCAAGCTACCGGCAGTGTAAGGTGGAGGCAGGCGGCTGCCAGAGCCTCACCTCCATCTGATAGTGATTCACTCTGGTCCTCGGCCCACCTCAGTTGCTCCTCTTCACCTTGGTCATTACTTCAGCATCTCCTGCCTCTGACCATCCTCTCCTCTGCTGTCCTGCTGTTTCCTCTCCCTCCTCCTGCTGCACCACTTTTCCTTCCCAGCCTTCTCCACTGCACCCCCCTCCCCCAACCCCCAGTATGCTGAGACCCACATCATCAGCATCCCTTGTTCCTGCCTCCCCATCCTTTCCCTGTCCCTCAGGCTCCTCCACATCAACTCTCACAGGGCCACAGTCCCCGCCTTACACAATTTACCCCCTTCCTTATACCCCAGAGGGTGTGGGGGGAACTGTAGCCCATGCAACCCTCACCTTACCCCTCCACAGCTGCTGGACCAACAGCGAGGATGCAGCACGGCAGGTTGTCTTCCACTGGTACCTCTCCTACACACCCCACAGCTGCAGAGGCCCTGCTTTCACCACCGTATTGTTTATCCTTGGAGGAGACAACTGCCACTGCTGTTAAAAGGACACGTGGTAGAAGCACAAGGTGGCAGCAGCTGCACGGTTCCCTTTTACAGGTCCTCTTTCCCAATATTTTTTGCCAAGTAACTTTGAGCGCTACGCTGTGCACATAAGTATCGGCAAATAAATCTTTGTGCACACTGGCCCATCTTGAGATCCTTTGTGCAACACAGCAGAGGCCACACGTTGGTATCCACTGTGCTGTGTAAGCGGGAGGCAGCAGTGCAGTTGCAGAGAGGCTGTACAAGAGCAGCTGCGCGGACTGCAGGAGTGCTAAGGAGGGTGGTGTCACTTCGGCCTTCGCTGCAGGGCACAGCACAGCAGAGGGAAGTTTCCATCAGTGCTACGCACATGTTCTTAGCTCCTTTTCCTTAGCAGCTAAAAGAATTAAAATAGCCTCAGAAGAGCAAAGCATCCCATTTATTTGGCAAAGCAGGCAGATCCAGAGGTGAAGGTCAGCTATGTCAGGGAAGAGGAACAGAAGATTAAGTGATAGAGCTGGGAAACTCTTCGCATACAGAATGTATCCACTGCTTCCCCGTTTCAGGTCTTCTGAGAACTCCAGGAAGCAGCAGAGCATCTCTGCCTCCTGGGACTTCTCGCTGGTAACAGAGAATTGCCACAACTCCTTCCCCACACACGTGTCTCAAAAAACACGTGCACATCTAGATGTTTGGTTTCTGGGCCAAGCTACAATGTTGACAAGCTACCTGGGAGCACAACTCCACACTAAGGAATGACTTACAAACCCTTCCTGAGATAAGGGTAGAGGAAGGGGGGAAAAAAAACCAAACCACCTCAAAACGCAACCTTTTTTGGTTTGTTTGTTTGTTTTTCTTTGGGTAGGGGTTTGGTTCCCTGACAGGGAAAAGGCCATAATCCTTACAGGATTCTCCTGCAAAGTTCCTGAAGGCTAGTTTCATGATAGCCCATACCACCTTGAAAGTAAACACAAAAGTTTTGGAACTACTCCAAAAAGTACAATCCTGACGAAGCTTACTCCGTTGAAGGAAAAATACATCCCTGCAAATACGAATTGGCGGACTACTAGAATGAAACACCTTCCTAGTAGCCATTTCATATAATTTCTCAACATTAAAAAAACCCCAAACAACTGAAGATTTGCAAGAGTTGATGTGATGCCCAAGAATACCTTTACGCCCAAGGCAGCGTATATTCAGTCTCTAAATAAACACGGGTAACACTGGTTTGCATCCTCTTCAAAGCAAGCGGAGTGGAGTTTGGCAGTCATGCAATGCAAGTGTCCCCTGGAGACCAGCCATACACCAGTTCTAAATAACAAGATGCTGAGAAGAGCCTATTTTAAACACATCTTGTTCTACAGAAAGGTGAATTCACCTACCTGTGAAAAAGAGTTTAGGATTACATACTTCACCATCTGCCAAAGCATGTGGCTTTGGAACATGTTTATGCAAATCACGCAGCATTTCTACATGAACAGATTTTGTATTCAGTTGGAATTAAAAGACAGCTGCAGAAATTTCTGGAATGAAATTATCTGGATAATACATCAAAACCAAAGAAAATCAACTGAACAACAGTCTTGAAAATGCTTTATTGAACCGTGTGTCTTATTGTAATGTGCAGAAGATGTGTTTGAAAAGACTACAGCTTGAAAAATTTTTTAAAATCCTCAACAATCAATAAAAAAGTCCCTACTGGGAGTAACTCTCAGGATAACCAGAGGCCTCATGTAAAGTTTCCCTTGAAACATTTTCTGTTGCAGAGACTAAAAGAAAATAAAACTAGTACTGCTCTATGTGGAAACAATCAAGATTTGAGGATTTAAAAAAAAAAAAAAAAGAAAAGAAAAAAAAAGAACTCAAACTTCAGTTTATGAGGTTGCTTCTTTTGCTGCTGTTATTTTGGGTTAGCATACACGTCACAGTTCTGCTGAGAACACCATCTGGTGTTCAAGTCTGTAAATTTACTCTAAAACGCTAGCAATGCTGCAGAGATGGAAGGATACAGAGAAAGAGAGAGGGCGTGAGGTGAGAAAGATCTGGAAAGACACCATTATGATATAAGCCTAGTTAAATTTTCATCAGAAGCTGTGTGCACTTTTGTTTTTATAATCTAACTTTACATTCAAAAAAACCCACCAAAAAAAAAAATCTGACAGAAAACCAAGACCAAAGATACCCCTCTTGTCCTTGTCTTGGGGCTACTATAAACTTCTATGCACAAGAACGCCGTAACTGTCTTTTTTTCCAAACCAGTAGGGTTAACAGTATAGGCATGTAGGTGGCACGATTCAACTAAAAGGCTTTTTCAACTTTTTTATACCAGCAAAAATAACCAAAAGAAACAATAAATAAAAGGTGCTAAAGTTAGCATTGAGAATTCAATTGTAATATACTGACAACCTGGGAGTCCAAACCCTGAAGCTCTCCTGATACTGACAGGTCTCTGCAAACTATGAGGCAAACACATAAATAACTCAAAATATGATTGAGACTGTGAAAGGCTTTTTAAACTAAGACAACATGATCCAAGTTAACTTTTTTTAAACACAGTGAATATATGAATTGTCTACACCTGAATAAAACATATTTAACAATTAAAAAATTTTAACAACCACAAAAAGGAAATTTTAAACAAAAGTGAACATATTTTGATTTTAGGGCACACAAAAGCCCCTTGCAGTAGCTTCCAGCAGTGGCCTTACTGTTTTGTCTCCTACAGATGCGTAAAATGAAGTTCAACTCCACACTGAGGTGATGGCTAACAGGGCAACTTAATGGTCACAGCAAAATGCCACACCGTGGTCACAACAATATATCCCACTGCAGAGTTTCCATCCTGTGCGGGAGCAGCACATAAAGAGGTCATTCTGTCACATATTATTCAAAAGCTACTTTGTGGCCACAAACGGCTAGTCAGCCCTAACCTTTTTGTCACATAACCTTTGAATAATGGGAAAGCTTTGGGTTTTATAGTTTTACTCCTTGTATTTAAATTTTTAAATGACAAGGTCACTAAAACTCATGCACGCTGCAAAAAACGTCATGCAGTAGTTAAGGTAAACCATCCAAGCAGTTTTATTCATTAATATTCATAAATACACACAGCAGCTTCATTAGAGATTTTTCATTTTTTTTTCCTCTTCAGTTTGAATGTGGAGTATTAGGAGAGCCTTTTGCATGTCAAGGTACAGGACACAGAGCTTTCTGCTCTGCACTGCAACCTACATTTACCTGCTAGAAGTAAAAATTAGTTAAGTGGAAATGATTATCATATATATCTTTTCTCTCTTTCTTTTGAATGTACACAATGTAACAAGAGTGACAGACCTGAAATTACAATCACCAAAACAAACCCAAGATAGTTGTTGTCCACTTTCATTGGCAAATACAGCACAGAGGACATTGTCTGCAAAGTGGGATGTCATCAAAGAGGAGGTGGAGGAGGCTCGTTTCCTTTATTACTCTCTTTTAAATTTAGGTTTTCTAAAGCAACATCTAGAGGCATAATATCTACACAGCCCATAGCACCAAAATCTGCAATCTCCCCCCGCTCATCCTCATCTGAGGAGGAACTTTCTTCCCGCATCAAAGTGGACAGTAGAAGCTCCTGAACAAACAGGCTGCAGTCTGCCCGTTCGCTTTCCATTGACTGACGCTCTGCTTCTGACATCTTCGGATCATTCAACCTACAGGGCAGCAAGGGAAGAGAAGACAGGCAGTTGGTGAAAGCCCATTTCACCAATGATGCTACTGACAGGCACCAAAAGGCACTCAAAAAACCATTCCTTCAGGACAGTCCTGCTTGCCCTTTGACACGTACAGCCCTGGCAACCTCTGACCCCTCAGTACAACAGGTATGCATTTAACAAGCCACCCTTTCCCTGTTGTTACAACAGCATTCAAAGTGGAGCCTAAACCCAGAGCAAAATAAAAAAAAACTGAGAGGTTTCCTGCTATTCAGGAGTCCGTTAAGGAGGGTTGTTGCGTTTTGCTAGAAACTCATTCAGTGCCTGTTTTGTTTCTACATCAACTTCTAAGTTCACATATGCCGCAAAATACATTACTGCATGGGTAAAGCCTAGGGATTTCCAAAGCACGATACAATGTTCATTCCACTACTTCTCTTAGGTTATAGTGCATGCGCTGACAGGCAAGGAAATTGCCGACTCCAACTCTGAAAGTCACAATCAGTGACACCTGCAGGTACTTTGATTAAGTTTCTCAAAGAATAATGAGTTCCTGATTGAAAGATGTCACATGGTATTATTTTCCACTTAGATAAAAATCAGATTGACTCAAGTCCAGGTTTCTTGACACAGAAGCTGTTTTCTTTCACAATATCAAACAGACAAACAAGAGTATGTACGGAGGGGCGTGGCAGGAGAGATGTGGAAAACATTTTTATTTCAGGTCAATAGCCAGCCTTCTAAAGGAACCAGAATGACACAGCGGGTGGCCCCTCTTTTAAATAACTGTGGGATCTAAGCATAATTTCTAAACCAGGTAAGTATTCTGTTTGTTAATGGCATCCTTTATTTGCTTTCTTATCCAGTCTCTAAAATAATTAATATATAAACCCCTAATGCACCTTCAGCTTTTACCTAAGATGAATTTCCTATTAAACAACACTGTCTTCTGAGACTCCTTCTCCACTACAGCTCAAGCCTTTATGCTCGTATCACTGGAAATGCATTTGTTTTGTTGAAAGTAGTAGGGGAAACAAGCACAATTTAGTTAAGAAATACTTCTTCCATTCCTCTTTAAGTTGAGACGCAGCAACTAATGTTTACCCTTTGCTTAGGAGCAGACAGACAGTAGGTTTGAAAAGATGATACAAATGCAAACAAAAGCACAGTATGTTGGCTACAGACTTGAAGGATCTGGCAGAAGTCCCCTGCCTGGAGCAGAAAGTAACTTACTCAGCCAAAACTCAAAACCAGCCTCCTTTTCAAGGTCTGCAGAAATCCATACTCAAGTCTAATCCTTTGAACATGTTCCTAGGCACATCAAAAAAGGTACAGCACACTGTGAGACTGCCTCTCCTTTTTGCAAACACTAGACCACCACAGGGTATTTCTGCAGCCAGTTCCTGGTGCTGGCTTTCCAAAAGCAGAGTAATTCCCTTTGGGCCAGCTATAAACCACTGCTCTTGGATATGAAATTACCGGTTTCACTTTCATGCTAGAAATGTGGATGATGCAAGTTTTATGTATCACACATTCTGTGACCACTGTTGACATCTACTGTGAATATATGCTGTATGATTAATTAGCTCGTTAACTCTGGGATATATTTGATCAGATACTGCTTTATTAGGGCATGTGCCTAACTCCAAACACTTAAGTTTCATTGAGCTCTATGTCTCTATCAGAACAAAGGCAAACAGAAATGGTAAAAGGCAAGTATTAGTCAATACACTGAACAAGTTACCTTGTAAGAAGAAACTGGGAATTCTGGATAGTCTGCTGACTGTTTTCTGTGTTAGATGTGTTGGTTGTTGTTGTAGATTGTGTCATAGCGGTGTTGACACTGACCGTGTTGGTGCGTCTAGTTGCATTGCGTGCAGTCTCCAGTTGTTGTCTTGCTGCCTGTGCATGTTGTCGTTCCAACTGCAGTTGCATCTGCAGCTGCTGTAACTGAGTAGCAGAAGGGCCAGAGGAGTTGAGCTGCCCTCCCGCAGAACGCCTCACACCTGATAGCTGAGATAAAAGCTCTGCCAGAGAAGAGAAAGTTTCTGTGATGAAATATCTTAAATCAGCATTACACAGTAGAATGAATACACCCTGAACTGCAGTGCATCAATTCCTTTTTTTCAATCAATAAAACCAAAGAACAAACAATGCTGAAGAGCCCATGAAGCTCTTGAAATAGCATGCAATGTCTCAAAGGGTAAGGAAGATTAAGATGCATTCATGCACATTTATTCCAAATAAGAAACTGAAGTTTAATGCCTTCAAAATAAGAGGAGAGCCAATCTACAGGGAATGCCTGGCAAATTACATCCTCTGCAGCAGCTCTCTGAAACTTCAACTCAAAATAGCAATTGACTAAGAAACTACTTCATTTTGGCTTTGGTTGGCGATTTTATTTTCCTCCCAATAAATGTTCCCATAAAACACAGGTTTCACCTTCCCGATATCCCAGAGGGAAGCTCTGCTGCAGCAAAGAGAGAAATATCATACCATTGCTTCAGACATTTCATAAAAAATATTTAGTTAAGAAATCATATTAAAGTATTGCCTCATCAAAACTGAAGTAGTCAAGCACTTTTGCTGCATGAATTTTTAATTCTGACAGAAGTACAGAGAAGGCCTAGCAACTAAAACAACCTCTGTCCTTAACTCTTCCAATTCAGAGGGATGGCATGCTTACAGCAAGTTTCATCCACAAAGATTTTTTTTGAAATAAATATTAGCAGCAAAGTACTGCTCACTGCATTACTGCAGAATCTCTCTGACACTCTGCAGAAGGTACTTCTTGTATCACCTGCTTGCTGTAGTTGATGCAAGGGCACAGAAGTAGGGGACAACACTGCTCCTGCCCCTCACCTCTGTAAGTTACTGCAGAGGTCATGACAATCTTCCTTCCATTGCATTAACAAAATATAAACCTTCCAAATAAGGCTTGCTTTGAGGAAATAAGGCAAAATGCAGTTGTCTTCCATGTCAGGAACTCTGTATGGTCAAGTCATTTTTACCAGCACTGACAGCAATATCAAGATTAAATAACTTGTAATTCCATTGTAAATACTACAAATACTAGAAAAACGCCACAGGGAGGAAAAAAAAAAATAATGTAAAAACTGTAACAGATGCTATAAATTCCATTTATTTTAAACAGAAAAATTCTGGTCATTTTTCCTATTTATTACTGCAGTAAAAGGGAAGATACATCGAACTTTCAGACAAGATTTAGATGTATTTATTCTCACTGTAAGTTAAAGCATAAGTTTAAGCTTAGAGTATAGCAAAACAGTATTTTGGAAGCAAGTATGAGTTCAAGACAGCGTCTTGGTATAAGAAGGACACCCAGCTCCATGTGCAACTGAACTCTAAATGCAAAAACACAGCTTCCACACAAAAAAAAAAAAAAGATTCAGAAAAATACCATTTTATCCCACATCTAATGCTACGTGGGAAGGCCTTGTGAGGCTGAAAACAAACCTCAGCAGCCCCTCCACATTTAACTAAGTTGAACTAGCTGCCCTTGCAAGAGGAAGATGAGGTCTTGCACTGAAGGTTTCACAAACATCCTCCCTCCTTGAAGAAACTTCAGTCCTTTTCAGACCCTTCTGTGACCTCACTTAACTTATTTTCTTCTCTTGATGGGACACTCCTTCCCAGCTAATTTAATGAGTTAAATCAGGTCATACTGGGCAAGCAGAGCACCAGACCCAGAAGAAGGCAGGCAAGGGGACCATGATTACGGAAGGCAGTGAAGCCACAGCTCCCCTTTCAGGGACAATGCCTCATTAAGCTCGCTGGCTGGCTACCTCCCTCTGAAGAAGTCACGACACAATAGTAAGAAGCTCCAGTTTAAGCATTATGCCTTCTTGGCATCTGAAGCAAAGCTGAATTATGGCAGAAGTTCCGAGGTTTCCCTGACACTTACGCTGGCATGGTCAAAGACCACTGCATAAAAACCTTTAGACTTCCCCTTATATTTGTTTTCAGAATTGTCTTAATTCTCTATTTTTTCTTTCCTGTAAAAAAAAGTTATTTTCACATCAAAGCTATATATATGCCAAACAAGTTATTCCTGGGAATCCTAAAGACACATCTTTGTTATTTTCTGGTGTTGAAAATGAGACATCCTTCCCCCACATCACAGTTTTTCTAAAGTTGACCAAAATATACCACAAATACTTGCAACAGTACATTTATGTAAGAATTTACAAGCACGAACACACACACAAAAAAATCCACGATATTAGCAAGTCTGGCATTCAAACACCAGCACTAATGGAAATTGAACATATTTTAAATGTCCATTAATACTCTAATTCAGCTAATTTCATCTTCATTGAGACAGATACTCTCCTCCACAAACACCTTTATCCACATGGCAAATTGAGATATACTAAAGTAGGTGATGGAAATTGGACGCCATCACTTGTAAAAACATATAACGTCTATGCATAGATTTGGTTTGGGAATAAGCCTTATGCTGTCTAGAATCAAAAGCACAAGCTACCGACAGCAGTTTCAGCTTCAGCACCTCCATGCACAGGCCCTGTGACAACCCAGCCAAGCACACTGCTCACCTGCAAGCAGCCACAATCACACCTGCACTGCGGAGCACATCTATACATTCCGTTTCATAACAAAGGAAAGCAGGGCAACTATTACCATCTTGAATTTTACTTCCTCTGTGCAAGGAGGACACTGGGGTAAAATTGGTGGTTACAGCTCTTACCAGCTATAGGATCCATGGCTTCTCTATTGCTTGGAGAATACGAACTCTGAGAAGATGAAAGCCCACCAGGGGAACTGGTAGTAAAGTGCATGTTTGATCTACGTGCACGGGGGCCTCCCAAACCCCGGCCTGGGTGGAACATCCTACGTACATGTCGAACACCACTGGATTCATCGTAACCAAGAAGTTAAGAAAATGGAACTGTTTGGTATTGAGCATTAAACAATAGAGGTATTTGGTGGGTGAAATAGTGTACACTGTTCTTCATGCTTAAAATGATGATTCAGCTTCTGAAGCAAAGCTAAGGTACACTGTAGCTATGGCACAAGTCATACTTACTGATCTGGACTGAAGATACCCAGTGATGTGTACACCAAACTCCCTGTATTTCTCCAGCTTTTTATGATGTCTAAGAAACACCAGGATTAATTTCTTAGGTTTTTAGATCAAAGATTTTTACTCAGTAATCTGAAAACTCTGTCAAATGCATGTTCAACCAAGATTATTACAGAGACACAGGGATTTTATTCTCCCTCCTCAATTCTTAAGTATTGGGAAAAAAAAAGTTTACTGCCATTCCTGTCAAAAGTACACAATAATTACTGTATTCTTTTTGACTTTTGTACTTCATGCTTTTATCCAAGAAATTTCATCACTTCAAACCTTAAGAAAGTGTAGGTTTCTGGAGTATTCAGCATTTTCATCACACCCCTTTGTTTCACCTTTCCTCTTTTGGCCAAAAAAATACCACTAATTCCACTTACGACGACGATGCCTTCATTTTCCAATTTGCCTCCCACTTCTCCATATCACATGCTTATATTTCAAGTCATATCTATGTTTCTCATATAAATTAACAATCAACAAATTATTTAAAGATTACTTTTGCCAGAAAGTTGTTAACATTCATTCCTCCAAGACAGTCTAGATAAGGCTTCTTTTTTTTAAAAAAAACCACTAGTATAATTCACTAGTGCAAAATGAAATAGCATAGCCTTGAATATTTTATTTTACCATTATTAGACTTTTAGCTTAGATCCCCCTATCCTCTATGTTCTTTATTTTAGTAATAGTATGCTTACTACTCATATAGTATCCATTACTGTATAAGAGTAGTGTTCAATGTACTTTTCACAAAACACAGTTATGGTGCAGAACCTCAGGACGTCATGGAGGTCAAGAACTTAAGACTGAAAGAAACAACTAGACTTCTCATGGCAAGAACTTCTGCCTATTACAAAAAGATTTTTACAGAACATTTGTCTCTTTCAAACCTATCAGCTACCCTACAGTGTAAAACACTTAACAACTAGGGTGTAAGATGAAAATCTCCCCTGGTACAGAACACACTTTGCCCAGTACCTCTGAGTGTGCTAAAACTGGATGCTGCTGGAGACGAGATAACTGTATTAGATGGACTATGCCCCCATGCAGTTTGGCAAGCTTTTCATAACTAGACCTGGCAGAAAAGGCCAGCATCTGGGAATAATTCAACTACACACAGGACTGTGGGGCAACTTTCCTAACTGTAGCTTTTAAAGTGTTTTGAGATAAACATCATTCTTTAAATAGCAGCTAAGTGTGCACCCAAGCCTTACCAGCTATGCTAGAGTAAAAAACACCTCTGTAAACCTTAACGTGCGACAGATAAACTGAATAGCCATGTGAGAACTATTTGTACGACTGATGCTGAAGTAACAAACTGGGCTTTAAAGAGTTGTGCCCAGACTGTACAAATAAAGGACACACCTTGCAATGGCTGCACAAGGTTTATAACAAGAAACAGATGCAGCCTTCTGGGACAACTTAAGAAAAAAAAACACAGAAAACAAAACCAAATTGAACCACACATGTCTAATGAATACTTGGAAAATGAGGCCACTCCTCAGAACTCTTAGCAGATCCAACAATAAAAGCTTACCTTAAATTGTAACAGAAATCTTCACTCTAGAAAAAACGCAAGCCAATAGCCTTCTCTCTCTCTACCTGCTTTTGTACACGAAGGTTGTTACAGAGCAGAGAGTTGTTCTGTACAGCTCTAACTGCATATGAAGATGTTTAGAGCAGCAATGTAACAGTATTACAGAGCAGTTTTCTAACAGCTCCTTGACTTCGACAGCTATTCTTTCCTATGATGCTAGACCCTGGGTGAAAAGGGGCATCTCATCCTTCTTTTTTCCTACTTTAGACCCGTCTGTTGCTAGACATGATGTAGAGCCCAACATGGAGTAGTCACTTCGGGATACAGTTCTTACCAGGTTTTGGAGACTTGACAGCACTGATCACTGAAGCCATAGTGTACGAGCAGAAAGTTCTACATGCATTGTCTTTAATGCTGAATCATAGACAATGTATTCCCAGAATATATCTAAGAAAGATCCATTTTGGGGTGACTGACATTGAAGCCTTACTCTGTATCTGAAGATAGATTTTTCTAGCTCGAACATTTCCAAATTAAAAGTCAACTGGAGGCATCTCTGATAATGGAGGGGGAGAAAAAGCTGCAGAAGTACAAACTCTAATCAAACACCCTGTTCATTTCAGTAGGTAACTAATTTGATTCTAACTGGGAAAATTGAGACTTCCTGGCTTACAAAGCAGTTAAGCAAATGTTGGAGGCACTCAGTTTGTCCTTCAGTACATTGCTATGCAGTTATTAGGGATGTAAATTTTGTTAGAAAAAGCGTAATAGGCAGGTGCTATCAAAAACTCACAAGTGGTAGAAAGTGCAGAACTAAACCGATACAAGAAAAATTGCTTAGTGACTCACTACACCAGCTATCAAGCAAAATCTCAGAGCCCTCCAAAGGCCAGGAAAGATCCAACAGTCTGGAATACACTCATCCCACCTCCACCCAAAGGGAGGAAGGCATGACTCTGCCTTGGGGGACACCTGACCATGGAGAATATACAGGGATTTCTGGGACCACGCTCTCACGACCACAGCCACTGAACTCAGCATCCTGCTCCTGCCCACAGCTGAGAGCCCCGCTTCTGTACACAGGGAAAGGTGAAGTAGAGAGAACTGCTTTTACCTGACTTTGTAGTGTTCTTTGCATTATGAGTTACTCCTTCACAGAGCCAATAAAGCCCCCAACAACTTTGTACTGATGCAATTATTGTGTAGTAATTAACATGTGCGTTTAGTTTGTCCTGACCCTATACCATGTTAACACTAACAAACTTAAATGCAATCAAACACAGTCATAACCGAAATGGAGCCTTCTCCTTAGATGCTGTCCTCCTAGTATAACGAACTCTAGTTGCTATGGCTTGGATTATTATTTTTTTCCTTTTAAAAAAATCTTTAAACAAAGAAGCCACAATCAAAGTAATAATGTAGTCCTTTGTCTGTTTGTTAAAATGAGACAGAAAGGAATACTTCAGAGAGATTACTTACTGTAGGGAGCCTATATGGCTTGCGTGTCACTAAATAAAAAGCCCAAACCAAAATATATTTCATTAGTTAATTGTAGGGGGAGGGGGGAAAATGAAGAAAAATATTCCTAGAACAAGAATAAAAAACCCCAGTAGTTCCAGCTCTTCAGCCATCAAGTGTAGATAAATCTCCTTAGTCTGCTGCTAAGGTAACTGAAAGACAACATCCTATTTTCCAGGAAATCTGAAAGTTTTCAAAGTTATATTACAAGATGTCAGTAACACTACGAAATTATGTTTTTAAAATATGGTGTTAAAAGTAGCTAAGCACGTTTAAAATCATTTGTCAAAACAGCTAAACTCGAGTCATCCTCAGATCATCATCTTCATGTCACAAATACAGCACATTACTGAATCTGGATACATAAAGTAGTATGAAGACTAATAATCAGGCAGGATAAACTACAGTGCAAGTAGAAAAACCTCTTGGTGTCAAAGTCCTTTAAATGTTTTTGCTGTTAGAGCAAAAAGCACTGTCCAGTATACCCACAGTCTGCACATAATCTGGTATTTACACTTTTTTAAACTAGCAAATGAACCTTTTTATTTTTGACATACAGATCTTTAGAAACTTAAGTTCCAAGAAAACCAGAGGTATGACCCTTCAACTATAAAGATCAAAACAAGTCGCCATGGCTACTACATGAAACAGTCTAGCCTCTTTGCCTCAACTTGGAAAGGATATTAAATCTCTAGGAGCTCTGTGTTCCAGTGTAAGATGAGCTGCAAAGTCATCTGTGACATGATTCGGATCCCCTCCAGGTAATGCTGCACATATTGGACAAATCTGAAATGACAAAGCGAGAAAAAACCCAACTTCATAAATTTCACACAAAACAGAACTTGTATTGCGCCAATCATTAGACATTTATTCTTATGCTTTAAAAATCACATTCTAGGTATTCACAAACACTTGGATAGCAACATATTAAAAAAAACAGAAAATGTATTCAAATGCAGACATTAATTTAGACATCTTTTACTTTATGATTTTCAGAATGCTATGAAAATCAGAGCTAGAATTTTCAAATTCAAATTTGTAATGTCTTGAAAATTAAGTCTTTGTATGCCAATTTTGCCACAGACAGTGGTGTCTGATTACACAGGATTAGTATTTGCCTGCTTGACACTCATCCCAACAAAGGAATCAGAATGAAATCACACTTAAGTATTTGCTGAAGTATCAAACTGAGACCACCCATCCAGGCAGCGCAAAACTACAGGTTTGGCAGAGAAGGGCTGATCTCCATATCCCTATATAACAGTATTTTGGGATAAGGCACTGCCATCTGTCTTTGGTTTGCATTTTTTTAAAAAAACCAAAACACATGTTAACTAAGTAGACAAACAGTGCCATTACAACTGCCATAATTATGGCCTGGTTTTTGAATGACTCCACAAACAGCTTGAAAAAGCATCTTCCATTTTTCTTTACAGTAGTTTCGCAGACTGACTTTTAAAGTTTTACAGATGGCAGACAAAAAAAAAATCCATTCCACAAAATTCTTCCCCCAAATGTTAAGTCCTCAAATTAAAAGCACTTTTACAGTTAAATGCAATTGCTGTCTATGAGTTTCTCTCTCTGTTCCTCACAGTCAAATACTCTTGACTTTCTGGAGCAACTCTGGCTGCAACACAAAGCCCAAGTTCCCAGTGCTCTTCATGCATACACTGAAGCTGTTGACAGTAGATCTCAAAAGATCATGGGCATTAAGAATACGTATATAATAGCACACCCATCTGCCTTACTCTCATGGAGGTGAGGACAATATCTTGAAATAAGTTTACTGTAAAATCTCAGCTGTTTTCGACAGCAGTTGCTACATCTTTAATGCCACTTCAATTTTACTAGTCAGCTCTGAGCAGAAAACCAAGCTTTTTAAAAGCTTTCTGCTACAATCCCTTCTACCTCATTTTCAGTATTCAGCATTCCCCTTCACAGAACTCCTCTTCACAGATTTTCCACCACTACAGAAGCCAAACAAGCAGACACACTACAGAGCAAAGTCATCTTATTACAGTGTAATATAATAATAACTCAAATATGCTAACATATCATACAGCTGCCCTGTAGGGACACATGAATGGATGTATACTGGACAGATGGTTCTAAAGTCCATAAACTTATTTATAAGCTGCTTAATCTTCAAAAACGTGTTTCATACCAACAGGAGACAACACTTTCCAAGCAATCTTTTTTCATTTAAGCTACTCTGAGGAAGCAGAACCCCAGCATGACAAGAACAACACTCTTCCGAAAGTGGAAAAGCACAAGAAAGTTCTGCTAACAGGATGAAGGCATTACGATCTGCACACACTTGCCTGAAAAGAAGAGACACAGTCCTCAGAAGAACATCAGCTAATTTACAAGTTACAAGGAACAATGAGGAGGGAATCTAAGTATCCTAACCTTAATTCTGAATATGACCTAAACTTCCAATAACTCTCTGACTGGGAAAAATTACTGAAGCATTGTTACACACAAACAGAAATTTAGTTAAGCATAAGCTCTGGCAAAACCACAACAAAGACTGCAGCATCACTGATTAAGCGTGATGCAGCTAAAAACTCATTGTTAATAGAACATGCATGAGAAATAGTGCAGATGAAAGGAAATCCTTGTCAGAAGTTTCTCCTGGAATTATAATTTGTCTTAAAAAAATCATCATACCCTGAATGATGTCTGAAAGCTGACTGCAAATTCTGAAGTCAGTCACACTTGCAGAGTGTCTAAGCCACTACCCATCATATTTGAGAAGTCATGGCAGTCTGGGGAAGTTCCCACTGACTGGAAAAGGGGAAACATAACACCCCATTTTTAAAAAGGGAAAAAAGGAAGACCCAGGGAACTACCCGCCAGTCAGCCTCACTTCTGTGCCCAGCAAGATCATGGAGCAGATCCTCCTGGAAACTATGTTAAGGCACATGGGAAATAAGGAGGCGATTGGTGACAGCCAACGTGGCTTCACTAAGGGCAAATCGTGCCTGACAAATTTGGTGGCCTTGTGTGATGGGGTTAGAGTGTTGGTGGATAAGGGAAGAGCAACTGATGTCATCTACCTGGATTTGAGCAAAGCATTTGACACTGTCCTGCATGACATCCTTGTCTCTGAATTGGAGAGACTTGGATTTGATGTGTGGGCCATTTAATGGATAACGAATTGGCTGTATGGTTGCACCACCATGAGCTGTGGTCAACGGCTTGATGTCCAAGTGGAGACTGGTAACGAGTCGTGTTCCTCAGGGGCTGGTATTGGGACCAGCACTGTTTAACATCTTTGTTGGCGACACCGACAGTGGGACTGAGTGCACCCTCAGCAAGTTTGCCAATGACACCAAGCCCTATGGTGCAGTCAACATGCTGGAGGGAAGGGATGCCATCCAGAGAGACCTGGACAGGCTTGAGAGGTGAGCCTGTGCAAACCACATGAAGTTCAACAAGGTCAAGTGCAAGGTCCTGCACCTGGGTTGGGGCAATCCCAAGCACAAACACAGGCTGGGAGGAGAATGGATTGAGACCAGCCCTGAAGAGAAGGACTTGGGGGTGCTGGCTGACAAGGAGCTTGACATGAGCTGGCAATGTGCACTTGCAGCCCAGAAAGCCAACCGTATCCTGGGCTGCATCAAAGGAATCATAACCAGCAGGTCAAGGGAGCTGATTCTCGCCCTCTATTCTGCTCTCATGAGATCCCACCAGGAGGTACTGCTTTCAGCTCTGGGGCCCCCAACACAAGAAGGACACAGACCAGTTGGAGTGAGTCCAGAGGAGGCCATGAAGATGATCAAAGGGCTGGAGCACCTCTGCCATGAAGACAGGCTGAGAGAGTTGGGGTTCTTCAGCCTGGAGAAGAGAAGGCTCCAGGGAGACCTTATAGCAGCCTTCCAGTACCTAAAAGGGACCTACAAGAAAGTTGGGGAGGGCCTTTTTACAAGGGCATGTAGTGATAGGACAAGGGGCAATGGCTTTAAGCTAGAAGAGGGAAGATTTAGATTAGATATTAGGAAGAAATTCTTCATTGTGAGGGTGGTGAGGCATCAGAACAGCTTGCCCAGAGAAGCTCTGGATGCCTCATCCCTGGAAGTGTTCAAGGCCAGGCTGGATGGTGCTTTGAGCAACCTGCTCTGTTGGAAGGTGTCCCTGCCCATGGGAGGGGGGTTGGAACTAGGTGATCTTTAAGGTCCCTCCCAACTAAACCCTTCTACGATTCTATAACACCTGCCAGTTTCCAGACGTGTGCTTATATTACCACTACTTCCCTATTCACATACAAGGTAACTACTTTAAGTGACAGAATTTCTGTAACCTCAACAAGAGGCGCTGTGATCTTAAAGAATGAAACAGGAACCATTCAGACTGTCTCAGGCTGTCTACTTCATTACTGCAAGAAGAGCTCTCCTCAATTTTATCAGCAATGTATCAACAAGCTAGTCATTACAGTTCATGTACAAGGAGCCTAGTTACTGCCTTGCTAAACGTGAGAAAGTTGCAGTGCATATAACAGTAGAAAATTTGTGCGTCTGTTCTGAAATGAGATTCCAAGATGACATTTGATGAATTTTCCTACAATTTTTCTATTTACCATGTTAGCAGACTTCTAGTTGAATGCTGCATTTTAGTTAGAACAGTCAACTCACCTGAAACCCAGTACCAACAATAACAATCATCATACTGACAGCCAGATTCTCCTGCACTTGCTTTATAACACTTACCATTACCCTTGGACTGTTGAAGAAATACTGGTAATTAATGAAGTTTTAGTACTCACCAAAATCACACGATTTATTCATTTTAGTATGTAACCTTAGAGATTTAATCAATCACAAAACTTATGACTACTCCCACAGACATCAGTCTAATTTTCAATTTAAGTAATCAGAATTAAAACAATCACCTTTCAGGAAACATCATCAAACTCTCCTCCTGGAGTTCCTCTCCAGGACCTCAACACTCTGGGGTGCCTCCCCAAAGTGCCCGAATACTACTGCACACAGCATGGGGAATATCCATGGTGAGTTAGAGATATGCATGCAGTTGCAGGGTTATGATCTTCTTGGGATCGCAGAGTTATAGTGGGATGGCTCCCATGACTGGAAGGTTGCAACGGAAGGACATAGGCTCATTAGAAAGAAGAGGAAAGGGGGCTTGCCCTTTATGTGACAGAGCAGCTGGAGTGCATGAAGCTCTGACTGGGGATGGAAGAAGAGCTGATGGAGAGCTTATGGGTTGGGATTAAAAAGAAGACAGGCAAAGGTGATAGTGGGTGTCTACTACAGGCCACCTGATCAAGAAGAACAAACATATCAGGCCCTCTACAGACATATAACAGCTGCCTCACGCTTGCAGGCCCTGGTCTTCATGGGGGAATTCAACCACCCTGGAACCTCCTGGAGGGACAACAGAGCATGACTGCAATCCAGGAGGTTCCTGGAGAACACTGATGATAACTTCCTCCAAGTGACAGAGGAGTCAACAAGGAGAGATGCTCTGCTGGACTTCACATTCACCAACAAGGAGGGGCTCATTTGGGATGTGAAGGTGAAAGACAACCTTGGTTGCTTGAGATGGTGGAGTTCAGGACCCTGAGGGCAGGGAGGAAGATGAAAAACAGGCTCACAACCCTGGCCTTCAGAAAAGTAAACTTTGGTCTCTTCAAGTATCTTCTTGGACAAGTCCTGTGGGATAAGGCCCTGGAGGGTAGAAAGGCCCCAAGAAAGCTTGTTAATATTCAAGAATCATCCCCTCCAAGCTCAAGAGTGCTCAATCCCAATGAATATGAAATCAGGCAA